AGTCTACCAGGGCCCCAGACTGCGACTAATTTTCTGCTTGTGACACTAAATTTTGTTAGAGGTCACTCGGTTGCCACTACCAATCTGCCTAACTGATAAGCGTTAGCATTCTGTTGTTGTGCATGATAAATATGTATTAAACGCCAAACGAAACGAAATAGCGCTTCTCGTTTGAAACCGCGCGTCGCACGGACCTTTTATCAGCTCAGCTCGCAAGAAAAGAGAGCGCAGTGTGAGCTAAAGCGACTGTATTTACACTAACCAGTCGCGAGACCACTAAACAGCGCTGTGAGATCTAGTGATCGCGCTCGAGTTCAGCGCAGAGTTCTCCAGGACAAATCACATAGGTATGCGATTTAAACTAGTTTAAAGCCAAATAAATCAGAGCTGGATCATTCTCAACGAGATGGTACTCACTGCAGAACACAAGATCCAGGGGGCGTGGTTGGATCCAGATCCAACTCCTCCCACTTAACATATACCTAAACCCACCCGTCTCCACCGACCCCTAAACCTACCCATCTCCACCCCCTAGATGTGGATCCACCCACGCCCTCTGGATCTTGTGTTCTGCAGTGAGGGGCTACTGTTCTCAACAACTGATGCGGAAACGCCTGTGCAACAACGATCCAGTTAGAAGGTGTTTCAATCTACAGTACAAATCACCAACATTTACCATGGTTTTACTGTAGTAACATTGACAGTAACCATGGTATTGTGGCAGAAAAGTAGAATATTCATATTGAGTTTTATTATATTAATAATGTAGGTACTAAATATATTAAAGGAGTAATGGAATATAATCACAGTATTTTTGTTATTAAGTCATATCAGTTGTTTGTTGTGCATTTGTACTTATACTGAATGTCTTCAGGTTACTGTTTTTCATAGCAAACATTATAGAAGGCATATAGTTAGGCTACTTTTTACCATGGTAGTGAGGTGCTGTACCTGTGGTTATCATGATCTTCAAATGTATGAAAGATGAGGCTGTTATAATTTTCACAGATACAGATACTCACAGAAACAGGTACTGTTTTTGTTAATGAAAATAAATGTACATCTGCATCCCAACTCATGCTCCTGCTACTCTCAACTCAAGCTACTGTCAA